GTTCCCTGTCTAGAACTTGTAATGCTAATTACTCTTGCCTTTCCTTCTCCTTCACATCTCCTATTCACTATTTAAGGACTTTCTTTTCCCCCTAGAGATAAGAGTTATGGTATTTGGGAGTCTTTTAGACAGACCCACTAAAGGGGTACTCCAATTGCCTCACCCTATGTCCCTGTTCAGCATGGAAGAAGCCAGAGTGGTCTGCATCCCTATTCCCTATTGGCAATTTGGGTAACCTCTTCAGAGGATGGTGTGATAAGAATAGGAGGTAGGAATTAGCTAGGCAGTTAGGGTAAAAATACCCCAAAGAAAAGTAGCCAGTTTCTTGACTAAAATTCACAATGTCCTTAGGCTTTTTAGCAACATACTCTGTTCCAAAGGCCAAAAATGTTGAAAGTATATTTGGGAGCTTTTATCTAATCCTTAAAAGCTTTCAGGGTTACCTCTTCAGAGGGGGGAATGTTTGAGTAGCTAAAAGACCCATTAAAAAAATCAAAGAAGAAAGAGTACATGAAGTTATAAGATGATCTCTTTTTTTAAAGTCATATATCAAAATTTGTCATTGAAAACTGCAAATGCTCAAGTCAATCTTATTTTTATATGGGAACCACAAGAATTAAGTATTCTGCAACCATTTATAATATTGGACAATTGTTAAGAATAATTTACCCAAGTATTAAGAGAAATAAACTGGTGGGAGTTAATGAAATTACCTCTATTACAGTTTTCTTTGAAATTCTGGCAGAATCTATATTAAAATAGCAACTGGACACAATATTCATTAACTAAGGAAATTGAAATTAAATTTTGAGAAATCTATCTATCTCTCTCTCTATCTATCTATCTATCTATCTATCTATCTATCTATCTATCTATATCATGCTCTGTATTTAAGTAATCAGTAATTCCAGATATTACAGTAATAAAGTTGCAAAATGTTTCACAAGATAAACTTGACTCTGTTTATGAATTTTTCTTACAAAACTTTAATGCTATTATTTGTAATAAAGAATTAAACAGATATGCAGGCAGGAAAGTCACAGATCTTTAAGAAGATATCCATATTTAAATCCTCAGTAAAAGATTATTAAGATTATAGCAGCAAATAGATCTTTTTGTTGGTGGCTAAAAAACATTGAATCTATTAAATTCTATAATCCGTATGATTATAATAACAATAAAAACATAATAATAAAAATGTTCCACTAGGATAGCTGAAGACATTGAAGAGAAACATAAAATATTGCATATGACAAAGAAAAACATAGAAAAAATAACACTGAAAGAACAAGATTCAGCTTTAAGTAAGAAGAAGGAGAATCCAGAGGAAAGACAAAACATATTAGGAAATTTACCCGTGGGAGAGACGTGCAGCATTTTCCTCTGTGATGGGTCATTCTGTAATTTTCCCAAGTCGTTAAAAGTTGGTTTTTTTTTTTTTTTTTTGGTAAAGCTAAGCTCCATATATGGAAAATACTAGATGCTGGTAAAAACCAATCAGAGCTCCACTGAAGACAGTGTACAAGTATGTATGTAAAGCATCTGTGGTGTGGCCTGTGGTCTTACACATGTGCGTGGACACTGGAGTGACCTGACAGTATTTCAGCTCCATTCCACCTTGCGCAGTCAGCCTGCAAGCTCCTTTCCCAAAGCCTCCAGTCAGCACTTGCTGAGTTTGTAAAGGGGAGGAGGAGTGTTTTGTTTTTTTCTTCACTTTAATCATACAACTTTCCACAAATTTCCTTTGGGTTCCTCTGAAACTTACCTCCAGTCATCTTTAGATAAATTTATCAAAATATTCATTTCCTCTTCTTGCATAAGTCGATAAGCTGCACTCACATGGTGGTTCTCAAGCACAGAGCGATCATTGTACAGAATGGCAACGTCCGACCTGAGAATTAAAAGCAAATGTCCAGAAGAGAATTTCTTCAGACTTAACTAGTTTTTTTATAAAAGACAATTAAGTTCCAAGCCCTGCTGGTTAAAATCCTATTATTGCATACATAAAACTGCAGAATTACTAAGTTCCTTTGTTAAAAACTGCATGATGACCTTAAAATGTACAGACTTTATTTTTTTTTACCAGTTTCATGTTCACAGAAAAATTTCAGAAGGTAGTTTTTCCCTCTCCCTCCTGCCTTCACTCTTGTGCTGTCCATTATCCTCCACCAGAATCCCTTTGTCACACTCAGTGAACCCACACGTGCATCCTCACCCAGATTCTAAAGTCTATGTTATGGCTACTCTTCATGGTTTGCATTGTTTGAGTTTGAACAAATATATAATGATGTGTACCTAATTTAGCTTCTACAGAGCAATTTCAAGACCCTAAACTCCTCTATATCCAACCCAGTTATCATTTTTTCTCCTCCAGTCCTCAGAAATCACAGATCATTTTATTGCCTCTATTGTGTTTCTTTTCCAAATGTCATATGGTTTGAATCACACAGCAGACTGTCTTTACAGGTTGGTTCCTTTTACTTACTGATATAAATTTAAATTTTCTGTGTATCCTCTCAGGATTTGATAGTGCATTTCTTTTTAGCATTGAATAATGCTCCACTCTCTTTGTGTGTCACAGTTTATTTATCCCTTTACCTACTGAGAGAAGTCTTGATTATTTCCACATTTTGAGAACTGTGAATAAAGCTACAACAAATGTCTGTGTACAGAGTTTTGTGTAGGCCTAACTTTTCAACTTCTGAGCAAAATGACAAGGAGTATAATTCCTGAATCATCTTCTAAGAGGAGAGTCAATTTTGAATGAAACTGCCACGCTGTCTTCCAGAGTCTGTCATTTAGTATTCCCACCAGCAGATGAAGTCGCTGTTCCAGGCCACCTCAGCATTTGGTCTCCTTAGGGTTCTGGATTTGGGTGGTCTAACAGTGGCTGCATCTCATGGTTATTTCAATCTGGGTTTCCCTGCAGGCATATGATGTGGGGTGCCTTTTCAGGTGCTTGTATGCTTCCTTTATATCTTCCTTAATGATGTGTATGACAATCATTTTGATCAGGTTCTTTTCTTTTTTTAAGTTTTTTAAATGTTTGGCAATTTTACACATATACAGACTGTACTATGATCATATTCACCCAATTTCTGTCTCCCAATCCTGGTGACCTCTCAGCTAGTCCTCTCCTACATTCCTGTCTTGTCTGTTTTCAAAGGTCTGATCCAGGTAACCACAGCTGCTATGTGTTCAAGAGGTTTTTTTTTTTTTAACTTAAAAAAAATTTTATTGAGAATCTCATACATGCATATAAGATGTTTTGATCAAATCCATGCCCACTCCCTCCCCTCTAGAATTTCTTTGGTGTTTTTATTTTGTCAGTTCTTTTGGGTCTTTCTTCACAACCATATCACTCATAAGTAAAGTATACTACCTCCCTTTTCTTTTCTTACTGCTTCGGTTAGGACTTGTTGTGGTGTTGGAAGTCCCTTGCTCCTGTCTTAATAGGAGAGTTTAAAGTTGATCACCATTAAAGATGATGCTAGCTACAAGCTTTCTGTAGGTGCTCATGTTTCTAATTGATTACTTTCATTTTAAGTTGACAAAACATTTTATGGACTTGGTACAGCATGACTTGAAATAATGCATTGTTCAATATCTAGCTCTGTTAACATGATACGTTATTTCAAAATGATATCATTTTCAGGTAAAAATATTTGAGATTGCCTTTTAGCCACTTTAAGAATATAATATGTGGTTATTAACTATGGTTACTCTATTTATAATCCCTGTCTTGAATTTATTCTTCCTGTGCTGGGGGAAATTTTATATTCTTTGACTAACGTCTACTTGACTGCTCCCCTCAGTACCTAGTGACCACCATTACCCTCTGAAACATTCTTTATCATGTTGGGGGTGTTGAACACTATTCCTGGTCTACTGAATTTTGAATTTTGACGATGAATGGATATTGGATTTTGTCAATTGCTTTTCCATGTCTCGTGTCAGGACCCTATTTTTTCTTTAGACTGTGAACTGAATATCAAATGTTTGATAAGGCTGCCATACCTGGGGTAATTGGACACGACACTAATTTCCCTTTAATTATCATAGTTTAAATATCATTATGCTCTCCCTAATCAATATGTAATCGAAATATCTGTGAGACAGTATATATCCAAAAGAGAGAAAAATTACCTCTCATCCTCATTCAATCAGTGAATGAATAGCCTCTTTCCCCCTATTTCAGGTAAATTATCGCCCTCAAATTATTAGGGTGGGAATAAAGAGGATGATGAAAATTGATTTTTCCCACATAATACTGTGATTAAATCTGAATATTGCAGATTCTCTCCCTGTAAATTAAAGTGAAGAACATTGTTTCTCTACTCAAATTTATAATAGACATTTTAAATTTAAAATAATGAATTCATTAAGAGGAGGCTTTTATTTCTCATCTGTCTATATTTTTATATAATTTGAATGTGAAATAAACTATTTCAAATTACCTGGATGGACTTGTACAAAAATTTTCATTTCAGTATAGTGGGGCCCATCCTATATGCACAGAACATTTTTTTAAAAGAAAGAGCTGAACAAATCTGATATCGGCTGCAAGCACTCTATTCAAGACCTTTGTCTGATAGCTCACCATATAATAAGCCCTTAGTTGTTGTTAATCTAACTTAAATGAAATAGTCTATTAAGGTATAACCTAATTATTAATTACTCTCTTTTATTTTCAGCACTATCATAAGGTGAAATGACATATGTATTTAGTTAATAGTACATACCTTCAACATAGATTTCCTTTCAGCAATATCAGTTAAGGCTTAAAAATCTCTTGACCGGTAATCATAACTCAATACAGAGGAACTTGACATGTAATTCTTGCTTAAGGAATAGTTAAATTGATATTACCTGAGCAAAACACCACCTGCATTTCCAGGAGTTTGCTGAGATCATAGGAACTACTATGGTTTTCCAATAATTTCATTTGTATCCTATGGACCAGATACAGCAGTCTTTTCAGGGTTATTACATGCCATAGCTATGATTATCTCTTTCTCCTCCTTTCAGAAACAAGCAAAACTTTTTTTTTTTGAACCAGATTTAGCATAGCAAAGTGTGCATGGTTTTGTTTCATAAATCTAGCAAGGTGTTGAGAATTCAGCATGGTCTCAATGTTTGAGATGGTCTTTAATGGCTAAGAAAAGAACCAGACTCTAAGCAACATGTAGTATCCATAGAAACATGTAGCTTGGCATTTTCTGTTTACAAGGAAGAACTTATTGCCATTTATTTACACTTTCAAGGATTTCATGCATTGTAATAGCTTTAGCAATCTCAAATGTACCCTTGCCCTATGCTCTAAATTACTTTTCAATCATTGTGTATTGTACTGTAAATGAGTTTCCATATTAGAAAAGCTCTCCAAATACAAGTAGCAATGAATAATATAAAACACAATAGAATTATTCATATTAGTGACATGAAGACTTATTTGTTTGACAAGGTGTGATGGCAACATGGAGAGTTAAAATGTTATATTATTTCATTTTTTGTCATTACAATATTTTTGTTAATATTTTCAAGGTCATGTGGAAATGATCCATTAAATAATTGACCTTGTTAGACAATTCATAAGAAAACAAGAAAAATGCACAACTACCTCATCTTTATAATTTATTAATATAAACTTGAAAAAGCCTGATTCTCCTTCCTGCCCTCACCCTCCTGGCCCTCTTCCTTCTTCCTGTGGCATCTCTCCTTCCCTCATTGCCTCTTCCTCCTTCTCCAAAGCTCAAATCATAGGCTAGGTCTGTTCACACAGTGTTGGATGATTAGTGACAGAGGGAGCTGTGCATGATGCTCCAATGCAGCACTGACAACAAGCCAGTCCAGTGACATCACTGTTGAGAGCAGAAAGGGCAAGAAGTGGCCACCTGGAATAGCTATTTTTTCCCTTCCCCAAACCCTACAACTGTTGTCTTGTACTGAGGGCAACTCAGTAGCAACCTGTCTCTAAACCAATCCTCCTTGTTATGGATTCTGCAGTCCAAAGAGCCTTTGTTAAGCAAAGTTGGTATGCATAGTCTTTTCCACTGATTCTTAACATAATGATAGCCAAGGCACTCCCAATATTTTGCAAATGTGTGAGTTAATTACATTCTTGCCTCATAACTGGATTATAACTGTCCTTCATACTCACTTTTTCTATAAATCTAACAATTGTTTTATGAAATAGTCTACTAAAACAAAACAAATGAATAAACAAAATAACTTTATGTATGGAAATGGAAAGAGGAATACCGGGGATTGAAAGTTTCAAGGGGAGATGTGCCGCAGGGAAACTGGGGAGAAAAATGGAAGAAGGGTCATCTAAAACTAACCATGTATGAAAAAGTCATAAAGATATCTGCTGCTTGATAAGCTAACTTAAAAGTAAAATAGCATAAAGAGTTTGAATGGAGATACTCCATACAGGTGATAAAGCTGCTCTCAGAAATCATGCTATTAAATGAAAATCCCAGTGCCAGGATTAGGACACCTCCCTATGAAGTGTTAATTAGGTAGACTTCTGAACCCTCAAAAAAATAAAGGCAATTGCCACTGCTGTTGGCTTCTCATCAGAACTAGATGGTAAGACCTTACTGCTGAAGATACCACATTCTTTAATCACAGGATATATAAAGAAACCACGTTGCAAGTGGGCAATAAATTCATCTTTGCTGGCAAGTTTTCAAAGCCTCAGAAGGGGCTATGTAGGCCACCAGGGAAGAGTTGCCATCAACCATCTTATTTATCTATGGACCTTGTATGCACCCTCACCAATCAGCCAAGCAATATATGCCCATTTGTGTAATAATGGTAAGTCTGTAATGGGGGTAATTAACTACTTTCTGATTAAATTTAAGGTCATCATCACTGAAGGTGATTCTTGCTTGGTACTCCCCTGGCTGGGGAGGTCACGGGCCCTAGTCAGGAAGCTGCTACTGCTGTTTTGCTAAATGAATGTGATATGCTCATCAAATTGCCTTCTAAATAACTGCGTTTATATTCAGAGATCAGTCCTGCTGTCAGATTTGCAATGGCAGTGGTAGCTTCAGAGACAAATAACTGGTCAAAATGATAAAAGTGACTGTTGAATGCTCAGCCATAGATAGGACATTTCTATCACCTCCTTTAAGACTCAGAAAACACTGCAGAATAAGGAGTAGAAGAAATGCAAGAGCCAGAGGAAAAGGACTGTTGTGCAAAGCTGACTTCCAGGCATGATATGGATGTTGCAGTCCTGAAGTTATAGAAGCTAGGACTGCCTGTATGGATCTATACCTGTCAATACATTAACACCCTGTCATGAAAGGATTTATACAGAGTTAATGTTTGAGAGGGAAGGAAGAGACATTTTATTCAATGATGTACTCACTGATTTGGCACCCATGCTCATGTAAATAACCCTTCAGCCATGTTGCTATAAGAAACTAATGAAATCACTGGGTCAGACACCCAAAAAGAAAGTTAAGAAAGTGATTAATTGGGAAGAAGAAAGATAGAGGTGGGAGCTGGAAAGGGACAAGAGAATGTAACAGCATGAAATATGTAAAAATATAGACACATATGAAATGTATAGTGAAACTATTTGCATATTAATATATGTGATTAAAATATTAACGAACAACATTTTGTGTCCTTTGAACAACACAGAGTTCTATAGTGTTTCTAGAGATGCAGGCATCTTGTTATTTCCTTGCCAAGTACCCTTGACTAGTGAAAGACATACAGTAATATCAGGAGTCCACATTTAGAAAGGAGATGTATCCTAGTTTGTCTTAAACTAAATTTCACTTCTCAGGCACTGATATATATGTATGTATATGTATATATACACAAAGAGGTTAGGATATCTTCCCTTTACAGACTGTATATTGTGCTCCTCCTCTGCCAGATTCATATATTGAAGCTCTAACCCTCTGTGTGACTATATTTAGATATAAATACATTAAGGTCTAATTAAGGGTAAATGAGGCAATGTAAGGGGGAGAACCAAATCCAATATGACTTAAGTTTTTATGTGTAGAGGAAGGAAAGGGAAAGAGTGTATGCAGAGTGAAAAGATCAGGTGAGAACTCAGGAAGGCTGCTGTCTGTGAACCAAGATGACGGACTTAGGAGAAACTAAACCACTGATATCGTAGTCCTGGACTCCCAGACTCCAGAACTGTAAGAAAAGACTTATGTTATTGAATACCAGTCTGTGGTATTTTGTTAATGGAAGCTGTAGCAGGCATTATAATACATACCCATTCTAGTACTCTGGTTCAAGTAACTGCCATTATAACCACCCTGAAAACATCTTACTATCTAATTCTATGAAATAGTTTATACTGGCCTGGAATAAAGAAAGCTTCTTTGATTTCTGGTTTTCTTCAAAAATAAAATTTTATTACCTTCCAATATAGAGAGACACAAACCAATGCCTTCTAGAATGGGTTGTAGGGTTTGCCTCAGGGCATAATGTCTGACTTGTGTGACCATTCAGGCTAAGTTCTTGGCAGAGAGAAACTGTCTTACAGACTTCTATGTTCTTTAAGTTGCTCAGTATGCCAGATAACATATCCAAGTTTCTTGAACAACAGCAGTAGAGTGATTTAAATGGTTACAGCTCAAAGAATATTGCCAGAAGTCCATTTATTTCATTTAGCTTTATCACACACTTTGACCATATTTACCTCTTATAGCCTCTCCTTTCTATAAAAAATAATTCTAAATTGTAAAAGTTAAGACTTTATTGACCTTACCTTGTCTGAATATGAAAATTGTTTGTGGTCCCCGTGTGCTCGTAATCATGAATGGCAGCAGCAAAGACCATTGCTAAAATTTCCAGTTCTGTGAGCCAGTGCTAGTGAAGTAAAAAAACATCCTGTCAGGCTGAACATCTTTATCATCTTTTATGAGAAAGATTTTAGTGTACCCAGTACACACAGTCATGAAAAATGATATTTCTTTTGTATAATTTTTCCTATTTCATGTCCATTAATTATGCACAATGCATACTCCATGGTTGTTTCATCCTCAGTCAGCTCAAATTTTAAAGTTCAAAATATAATTGTCTTTGCTGTTTGGAAAAGGCATAATTTCTGTTGTTTAAAAGATTAACTCTGACTTGATTTTGAAATCATAACCTTGTCAGTTTGGGTTCTTAAGAAATAAATTATAGTCTAGTGAGTTTTAACATGTACTTCATACATCATTAAAATGGGTATTTGGATAATTATAAAAGACCCTTAAGAAAACCCTGGGGCTGGAGAGATGGCTCAGAGGTTAAGAACATTGGCTGTTCTTGCAGAAGACCCAGGTTCAAATCCCAGCACCCACATGGTAGCTAACAAGTGTCTGTAACTCCAGTTCCAGGGGATCCGACAGCCTCTTCTGTCCTCTGCGGGCATTGCACAACACAGATGCACTTACCTATATGCAGGCAATACACCCATACACATAAAATAAAAGATATATAAAATATTTTTTTAAAAAAAGAAAACCCTATGAAAAAATTCTATCTAAAGTTGAAAATTTACATTGTTCATGAAAGAAACTGAAATTCATGTTTAGGCTTTAGGATGTGGAAGAGTTTCTGAGAATTTTGTTTTTATACACATCTATTATCATTCAGTAGAAGTAATGATGACAAAGAATAATTGCTTTCATATAAAATACAAGACTGTCTACTACAGACAGGTTGACTTTTCTTTTACTAACCGGATGACTTAACAAAACTTCTCTACTACTATAATTTTTTAGATTCAAAATTTTGTTCATCACTCACATTCTGTATAATATATAGGAACCACATGTGAAAATTCAAATAAAAAATAAACAAAACACAGTAAAATTAAATTCACTGTCCCTGTTGCAGTAGGCATGTTTCACAGATTCAGCAATCACACATGGCAAGTGGATGTTTGTAGAACATCTCAGACACAAAGCATTTCCATCATCAAAAACAGTTCTTTTGGAAAGTTCTGCAAGTAGACAGCACTTATGTTAGGAAAAAAGACAAAAAATGAGATGGAATTTTCTTTTACATTTTTAGACATTCAAAATACATAAAGACTTTAAACACGTGCATAAGAAAGATATCGGTGAATTTTGTTTATACTTTATAAGATGCAATCAAGGACAGGTGCAAAGGCTTGCTGTTGGCAGTGGATACTGGATAAAGGACATCTAGGGTCAAAGGGATTTTGCATAGAAAGAGCAGTGGATGATACCCCTGAAGCCTGTATTGAGATAGAACTGCCAATAGTATAGCTGTGCTTGAGAGTCAAAGGACGTGGGGTTGAAAAAAGGATGATGAATACAATATGAGTTGAGGTCCAACTTGGATTAAAACTCAGGACTTTGTACTTTGCATAAAATGCCACTTGAGGCCAAGAACATTCACTGGAGGAAAGACAGCATGTTCAGCAAATGGTGCTGGCAAAACTGGGTCTCCACCTGTAGAAGAATGAAACTAAACCCCTATCTTTCACCTTGCACAAAAGTCAACTTCAAATGGATCAAAGACCTCAATGTGAAGCCTGAAACTCTGAAACTCTTAGAAGGAAACATTGGCAATAACCTACAAGATACAGGTGAAGGAAAGAATTTTCTAAACCAGACATCAGTTGTTCAGGAAACAGGGTCAAGAGTCAACAAATGGGACCTCGTTAAATGAAAAAGCTTCTGTATAGCAAAAGAAGCAACCAAGGAAGTGAAGAGAAAACCCATAGAATGGGAGAGGATCTTCACCAGCAACACATCTGATGGAGGTTTAACATCCAGAATACATAACAAATTCAAGAAAACAAAGAATCAAGAAAGGAAGTAACTCAATTAACAGATGGGCTAAGGATCTAAACAGAGAGTTCCCAAAAGAAGAAATAAAGATGGCTAAGAAGCATCTTAAAGGTGTGCAACATCATTAGTAATCAGGGAAATGCAAATTAAAACCACTTTAAGATTTCGTCTTACCCCAGTCAGACTGGCTAAGATCAAGAGAACAAATGATACCAAATGTTGGAGACTATGTGGGGAAAGGGGAGCACTCATCCATTGCTGGTGGGGCTGCAAACTTGTTCAACCCCTATGGAAAGCAGTGTGGAGAACTCTTAAAAAACTACAAATGAACCTACCATTTGACCCAGTTATACCACTCCTTGGCATATACCCAAAGAACTCGTCCTATTGCAGAGACACTTGTACATCCATGTTTGTTGCTGCTCTTTTCACAATAGCTAAGATATGGAAGCAACCTAGGTGTCCCTCAATTGATGAGTGGATAATGAAAATGTGCTTCATATATACAATGAAGTTTTACTAGCAGTAAAGAAAGATGAAATCATGAAATTTGCAGGTAAATGGAACTAGAAACTGTTATACACAGACTTAGAAAAATAAATAACAACATGTGTTCTCCCTCATATGTGGATCCTAGCACCAAATCCTTATAAGTGAGTATGTATCCAGACATAACTACAGGAACTAGAATGATGGAAAGGAACCAGGGAAGTAAAGGAAAAGAAAGAATCTGAAAGAGAAGTATGGTAGGAAACAAGTGTTAATAAGGGAGATATGGGTAAAAACATGGTTATTTTAAGGGGAGGGGTGAGGGAGGGTTATACAAGGAACCTTGGGGATAAAGGGAAAAAAAGGAGCTCAAGAGAAGTAGGACCATAGGAGAAGGGTATTATTAAGGGAGAAATGGGGAAAATGGAGGAACTTAAAATGGGGAAACCATGGTGGAAGGGTTAGACAATGTGAGAGATAAATAATGCCTAGCTAGTTTTGAAAAACACAGAGGGAACCATATTAATTGAACAACCTACTGACACATTATACATACAACTAGCTCAAGGTTTCTAATACATGTATCTGAGAATATTTGGTCTTTGCCCAAGCTTTATCCATATAGCACATGGTAATTAAAAGTACCATACTGGTGGAACCAACCTTCTTGGATGTCTAACAATCATAATTTGAGGCCTATACTAATTTGGTCAGAGGGACACAAGGGACAGTTTTTGCTCCTTGCCCTCCAAGGTCGACTAAGCTCCAGGGGACTATGAGAATCTCTCAAAATGTCCTGTAACTGTGGTGCATCACCTGTCCTTTTGATCAAGGAGACCATGGATACCCCACCAGATAGACTTGAACCAGTGTCCAGTCTACAAAGAGGATGGTCAACACAGAAGAAACATTTCCTCCATGATTCCAAGTGAAGCCAACCATGGTTGAGCAAACGGTATCATGGACTCTTTAAGAGCCCATGTGTATAGCTAAAAGCTACATAATAAGAAACAATGTCAGACAGGACATACCTTTCTTTGAGTTGTTGGCCAGGGTGGCCCAAGAGATTCCCAGACAGTAACCCACCATAGAACTGGGTAAATGAACAGCAGACCCCAGTCTTATTTAAAGAAATATTGGCAACTGATTATTTTTAGATGAGAAAGAGCTAATTGTCCTAAAACAAGGAACTCTACCTGATTAGAATCAGCTAAGGGACAAGCACTGAGAACAGCTGGGGGCACCAACAACACAGTGGACAGTAACAGGGATAACAGAGTATATGGGCTTCAGTGGTGGGGGGCTATGGGAGGGTGCCATTTGGGAGTACAGATGAATAAGATTGTTTGGGATGTTCTGTATGAAATACACACAAAAAATCAACAAATAAAGAAAATGAGTTATATTTGAGAAAGAAGCATATAAATTTGCTTTATGTTAATTAGTAGAGGTGAAACACATTTAAATCTCCCTGATGATTCTGTATCCATGCTCAGGTGCCAAGGATCTCAGAAATTAATGGACTGTGACTTGTAATAATCAGATACATAAAGATTAGAGATGCATGTGCAAACATCTAAGTGTTAGATGCAAACACCTAAGTGTAGTTTTAAAGGGGCCAATATAATTTTTTAAGAGTCCATATGTATAGCTAAAGGCTACATAACAAGCAACAATGCCAGATGGGAGATACCTTCTTTTGAGTTGTTGGCCAGGATGGCCCAAGGAATTCCCAGATAGTAACCCAGCATAGAACTGGGAAAATGAACAGCAGACCCCAATCTTATCTAAAGGAATATTGACAGCTGATTGCTACTAGATGAGGAACAGCTGACCCTCCTAAAACAAAGACCTCTAGATAGGCTGACTAGATTCACCAGATGGACAAGTAGTGGGGCATGGCTGGAGGTGCCAACATCACAGCGGACAGTAGCAGGGATATCAGAGTATAAGGGCTCTAGTGGGGGGAGGGAATCTATGGGACAGTGCCATATGGGAAGTGAGTGTACAGTCGAATAAGATGATTTGGGATGTTCTGTGTGATATACACACACACAAAAGAAATCAACAAAAATTTTTTTAATGAATTATATTTGAGGAGGAAGCATAAAAAGTTACATCATGTTAATTAGTAGAGGTGATAAACAATGCCATTGAAATCTACCCGATGACTTTATAGACATACACATGGATCTGAGTGCAACTGATTATGACTAGTAATAATCAGATACATACAGATTAGAGATGCATGTGCAAACATCCAATGTCAATTGCATTGAAAAAGAATTTTTCTATATGAAACTGTGTATTTTAATAATGAAATGGAGATCTTTTCTAAAGGTTAAAACCTCATTCAATTTTATGTCTTATAGGGTTTAACTGAGTTCAATATTGTATAACTATATTAATTCAATAGTGAACCTAAAAATTTTATAGCCACTTTTGAAAGAGATGTATCTTTGCTCTGGAAACAGTTAATTAGTATGTTAAAGCTGTAATGAAATGCTTCTTCTAAAAATTTTTTTTAAAATGAGTTTTTCTGTATGAAACAGTATATTTTAAAATGAAATGGAG